CACCCTTAATCTATACTCTTAAATCACGTACATGTTGTAGCAAATATTGCACAATAATTTCATGTCCTTCTGAAGCAGCTTCAATGAAAGGGGTCATCCCTCGACTAGGCTCACTGGAATAAGAAATGTATATGTGATAAGCATCCTACTGGAAAAATTAATTAAATAAAACAAAAATTAATTCAAAAGAAAGAGAAAAAATATAAATAACCAATTGTCCAGAGCTCATCAAAAGCTTTACACACTTAAAAATGCCCTTTATAGTAAACACAATTTATCTGATGGAAGGAAAGTTAATATCTATTTATACAGTAAATTTAATTTAAAACAAAATGCAATTTCTTCGAAGGGATAGGAATAGTATTATTTTAAAAGTACACAGGGCACATCTTCAGAGTTTCTACCACTTATTCTTAAAAAAAGTAGGAGTTAAGGCAGTGAAAAAAAAAACAGTAACAGTCCTCATAACTTACACTGCCTCTGTGTTGGCACCAGAATTCAACAGAAACTTCACCATATCTTGGTGGCCTGCGTACGTGGCGTGAAATAAAGCTGTCCAACCTTTACGATCACGTGCCTCCATCTCAGCTCCTGCCTGCAAAAATAAACAAATAGTATGACATATTACATATCTCATTTAATCCCATTTAAAGTTGGATTTATATTATTCTACATAGATTAGGACATGTTTTAACTTCACAGGGACTCTCACTGAATGCAGATTAACACCTCTCCTCTTGTTCCTAATGTACTTGTATAATTACCAGCTTTTCTGTTTTCTACTCAACACCAGAAGAAGGCATGTTAATCTGTTCATTTAAATTGATTGCATTCAGTGAGAGTCCCCGCTGAGTTGGACTAATCTACATAGACTGATAGTGTCAATGGGAATAAGCCATTAAACACTTCATTGGAACACTGATTAACTGCATATTCATAACCAATAAGTACTACCTGAAAAGATAATCTGAAGTTTATAAGGAACTCTAATTCAAACCCTACTAGAACAAATTCAGCGAAACGTACCCACATTATTTCATTCCAATTTCAACTTACTTGTAACAAGAAATATCCCACGCTTTCATTGCCACAGCTTGCAGCTAACATCAGCGGCGTCTGACCTTTGCTGTTCTTGACATTCACATTGACATTAGCATCAAGGAGGAGGTTGACGATTGTGTCATGGCCGATATAGCAGGCGTACATCAGGGGCGTCCATCCTCCTCTGTTCTTCCTGTTTAAGTCTTCCTTGTCACTAAACAATAGGATTACAATAAGTTGTAAAACAGTAGCATAAAACAATTAAAGAATATTACTGAAACAAGGTATTAAAATGACATTAACTGAGTAATGGTGGAAATGTTTTCAGAGGTGAACATTAGTTAAAAAGCCATAATACTATGAAACAAAACTGTACATGCATCTTAAAATATCATCATTCACACTAACTGATAAACACTAAACAGAATAAGACCTACCTTTGTATATAAGCCCTGACCCTATCAAACTGCCCTATGCTACTAGCCGTGTGCAGGTCCAAGGAAATGGGTTGGAAGTCGTCCCTGGTCTCAAATGTACTCCAGCCGCGCCACACGGACAGACTCTTATCCAGTAGCTCATTCTCCGAGGCTTCATCGGATGCTTCGTAACGATCCTCGTACAGTGACATGTTGCAGGTGTCTGCAAGCACGTGCACTGGTATGGTTACCTCAGTCTGTTGTTTTGGTACATGCACAAAATCTGCACCTTTTTGTCCTGCAATATATGAGACATATGAAAAAGTTTTACATTTTTAATTAGCAAAAGATGGGTCTAAATTTTGTGCTCTGTAATTATCAATAAAAAAATTTAACTCATGAAGAGTAACTCACATAATATATAACTATATCATTAATAACATATCTTATCATCGTTTCCACCATCATTAAAATAGAAGCTTTACATCATGCAACATGCATTTTATAAGAAGAGAATAAAGTACTGGTGCTAGTACATTGATATACAAACTATCAAGACAATAAACACAGACTATGATACATTAGAAACCCCTCAGGCAGAATGAAGTACATGGTGACACAGTAATAATCAATTCTCCGATGTCTGCATTATTAACTCTTTCTGTTTATAATGTCCTTGAAAAGATTACAAATCGATGAATGCTTTCGTCTCTATTCCAAATGATACAGGTGACTCTGTCAAATGACAGTCAAGTTAAACGGCGTTGAAACATTAAATTCAAAACAAATAAATGAATATACACAAGTTGTCGATAAAATTACATCATACGAACTTGTGTGTTTACAATATTTACCTCCATTCCTATTGTTTATTCACAGAAACTGTATTGAAGCACTACAACATTTTCACCGGTGCCGTCCAACATCATATGTTCTCGCCGATCAATGTACGAGATATTACGAGACATCCGGGAAATTCCATCATGGAGGCAAAGCACTGACCCAAATTCCACAAACTTCAAAATATTTATTTTTACCAGTCCGTACAAGGGAATCTGCGGATATTTTAGGATGCGATAAAACCATAATACAGTCCCTTAAAGGTGAGGTTTATTAGACGTTTTATTGCAACCAAATTAAAGCTCATTCGACTAAGTATTTGAATGCGTCTGCGAAGATAGTTGTTATAATTACCATGGAAATGATGCTTATCTCTCTGCAATTTTATTGATGGCTTTAAGAGTAACATGCATCTCAATACCCTGGCTAGGAAGCTGTTGATTATCGTAAGATATGCCCTTTGCCATTCTGAGGTTTGTATGACGGTAGAAGAAATAGCAATCAAAAGAAAACAGAATTGATTAAACAGTAAAAGGAAAATTTGATAAAATTGATATTTGAAGACTTTGTACCAGTGGCAGTACATGTATGCGTAGAAGTTGGTTTTGCCAGTATTTAATAGATTTTATAGCTTCGTGATTTTGCAGATCGATTATTTGAAATTTTTAATGCTTCATGTCAAGTAAACAACTGTGCAAAAATTCATTTACTATTTATTTGTTAAAAGTCCCACTGCAGAGTATAATTCACTGGTACCTTACCCATGTTAACAATTGTTGTCATCTCCGTTTGTATCAAAAAGGAACCAGTTTATAAAAACGCATTTATGCTAAATGGTGTATTTTTTGAATTGAATGGATCTGTGTAGAATGATAATTTCACTGAGAACGAGTACTAAAATTGACGCTGACTCTCATGATTTCAGGCAATCCGTCCAGCATGGCGTCCAGTGATGAAGGCAGTGATGGTGAGGTGGACATCTTGGCCCAGTTTGCCAGCAAGATGTCTTTCCCGGCCATGTTACCTGATGGCTCAAGCCTGAAACCAAAGATGGATCAGATTTTTACAGAAGTGGAGCAGAGGTTACCGTCCATTGACTTTGATTTCTCTGATGTGAGTATGTCGATCTGAAGAATTTAAAATTGTCCAAGTTGAAGGGGTAGATTTAGAAGGTATCTAATGTCTTGCTACAGAAATGGCATCTTTGCTCCTGCTTCTTTATTACAGTAGCAAAGATATATATACATATGTTATTACTGTTTAATTTACTACCCCCTTTGCATTTAATTTAGAACATTGGAGATTATTTAAGAACCAAACTATAAACTGCATGCCTCTGTATAAGAAAATAGGATTCATTTATTTAAAAAAAGCCTCATGGCAAAATATTTTTTTTTTATGTGTACTATATATTTATGTTTAATCTTTCTCACAGGTCAGCTCAGATGAAGATGTCGGAATATTCCAACGTTCTTTGATCTCAACAACCTCATCCTTCTTTGACAGCGAGAAAGATCTTGACGAGAGCCTCACTTCTGATCAGTTTGAGGAGTTGCTTTCTTCATCTCTTCAAGGTTCGCACTCAGAACGCTCAAACTCGCCACCAACTCAAAGAGAAACCGTGTCTAATGGCATGAATTTGGACAATGACTATACAAGTAGTTCTGTGCAAAATGAAGTGACAGAAATGCCTTCAACTCAGGCAAACACAGCATCAAATGGTATACTGTTAGGTAATGCCTTTAGAGCTATGGAAGTGGAATTATCGAGGGTTAATAGAGAGGCACGATCTCGATCCAGTGGCGGGAATGGAATGCTAGAAAATTCACTATTTACTATGGCAAGGGAGATCAATATAAATCACGTTTCAAATGAAATGGATTTCAGTGTACAACAAGAAGGTACCCTTCATATCAATGGGCATAATGAGGAGAGGGTTCCTAGTTCAGGAAGACAGCAGGGCAGGGATAGACTGCAGGAATCAGGGTACCTCTCAGACAGTGTAAGCAGCTGGAGACAAATACTTCGAAATGACTCTGCAGAAAATGATGCTGCACCAAAGCCTAGGTACCAGGGCTGGGTAGGAAAGTCGGATTCCTCCAGCTCAGTACAAAACAAAGATTCTGACATGCAGAATGGTGGGGCAATCGGAAAAGTGTCTATGGGAAGTAGCACATCATCAAGAAAAGTAGACAGATCTACATCAGAGCCAGGCTTGGATCCGGAGGATGAACATTCCAGAAGGTCGCCAAGAAGATCTAAGCAGGCTGTTAAGAAGAAGATGGCGTCACCGAGGGCTGAGAGTAGAGAAGTTGTGGCGAGGTTCATCCCAGAGAGGACCAGGTTGTCTCTTCATCAACTTGAGAATATAGATCTGGGTATGTTTACTGGGTAGGATATGTACTAGCATATGTGTATTACAAAATGAGTGTGTGTGCGTGCATACACGCGCGCGTGTGTGTGTGTGCATGCATGCGTGTGTGCATGTGATAAAGAGCGATATGATAGAGAGAGAGATGTGGTTTTGGTTTTAACCTAAAATATTATTTGTATTCATGCTTAAATTCTTATTTTTTTAGATAATGTTCTGTCTTCAGAAAATGCCAAAGAACTCAATCTGCCGTCCTTACAACCACAAGAAGCTATGGGGGACACTGGAGAAGATAGTAAGAATAATGAGAATGACTTAAAAAATAGTTTAAAAAATACAGTGCCTTCGTTATAATTTTTGCTTAGATCTTTTATATGCAAAATTAATAACAGAATGTGAACAGTTTTGAAATGATCCGTAGTATGAAGTTTAGTTTATGAACAAAATGTACTGATATATCACACTTGATCTCAGTATTTCCTCTAAAAAGTTTTCTTGGATTTAGTTCATGCTTATACAAGTGCCAGTCTGTATATATATAGTGGCATATACTACATATACTTATGTATGAAGTCTTTTGTACAGCCCTCAGTCCTGAGGTCTTCTCCTCACAAGTGTACCATCTTACCTAATGAGCCACTGACACAGTATATGTAAATGTGTAGCAATGTACTGTATATGCCTAAATTTCAGCCTCCTCTGCACATGCATTTGGTATATGCCAATATATTTATATAATTATGTGTATGTATTTCAGCAGGCAGTGAGCCCACCCTGATCCAGAGACTTCTCCAGCTCTCAGTACAACAGTCAGGGCAGTCATTTCCCCAACAAGAAGTGGACCCAGTCACTGGCGCCGTTATCAAGAAGAAGAAGAGGAAGGGGAAGAAAGCAGAAAGCAAAGAAATGAAGACTGCTATTAATGAGTCTATAGGAGGTAAGGGAATGCAGTGTTAGGATATTTGTTTGAAAGTTTCAAACTCCTCACTTTTCAGTGTTTGTATTTTAGATGGTCACAAAATTTATATCCTGGCACGAAGCCTAGCTTTTCAAAAGTTTTGAGTCAGTATTTTTAAGCATATTAACTAACTAAACAATATTTTGAAAAAAAAAAAAACATTGAATGCTTTCAGAATTCGGAGTTATTACCATTATGATATTGTAATTGCATGGTGATATTTGGTGGGGAGTTTGTTTAAAAACTGCATATTTAGGAGTCAAATTAATGTAAGCAATGAAGTAAGTAAGTAACGTTTGTAATTTCAGTAATGCTAATGTTGGATGTTTGTATTTGGTGACAACTTCATGGTATTCACAATTCTTTACATTTATTTCATAAAAAAGGGGTCACAGCTGATTTAGAAGGTACATGTACAGATTTATATTCTGTTAGCCAGACGTTGCACCTCTGTTTCTTCAGCAAATTTTTTACACATTTATCAGATAACATTAGATATTCAGTAGATGCAACATAGTGATTAATATTTTCAATCTACAAAAACTGAAAAAATTACTTTTTGATTTATTCTATTGCATGCATTGTGTATCCCTCATTTTCTGTTATACGTATGATAATATACTGAACAACCCCCACAAAAAGAATTTTGAAATAATTTGAAGGAAGAAGATTATAAGTCGATACCTTATTTTTCCAGTATATAGCATTTTGCCCCACAAAAAGAATTTTGAAATAATTTGAAGGAAGAAGATTATAAGTCGATACCTTATTTTTCCAGTATATAGCATTTTGCCTGACTGTTATCCCATATCTAGATTTCAAAAATCAATTCCAAGCCAGAGTGAAAATATATAATAAAAGAAAAAAATGTTCAGTATATATATGGTCTTAAAGATACTAATATCAATAATTTTCTTTATTTTATTTTGTTACTATTTTATATTTAAAAATATATATTTTCATTTTATCCTGTTTCTATCCTGTTTGGCATTTAGAGTAAGCATATATGGTTACCTCTGTATATTTATTTTCTGTTTATTAATACAGCTATGATTTAATACAACACTGATGATAAACTGTTAGACATTGTGTTGTTTTTATAAAGTCTTTACTTCCTCAAATATCATCTAACTCAAGGTTTATGTACCTATTTCTTTCTTTTTTGATGATATTGACTTTTTTATGCTTCACAAGAATGAATTAAAATCATGATAATTTTAATTAAAAATTTTTGTTTTTAAATTTAGACATTCATATTTATTTCTCTTTCTATCCTCAAGCAGCATCTCAGAAGAGCAAAAAGAAGAGACAAAATCCTCCTGAACTTTCATCTTATGTGCTAGGTAAAAAAGTTTTAAAACTTTGAACCCTATTTTCAATGTAAAAGAATAAATTTTAATAATATATTTAAAACATTAAACAATAATTTCTTGAATGGCTTTAACATTTAATCTAATATATTTAAAACATTTAACAATAATTTCTTGAATGGCTTCCATACAGATCAACATGCCTTTATTCCTGTTTTAGGTTAATCCAAACAGGATGCAATTTATTATTTGAAATAGTGATTCCTTTTGTTAATTAATATGTTCATATTCCCAAAGGGTAATTATCACCCATACCTCTGTTATGACTCACAGGTAAAAAGGGCATTTTTGGATATATTTTTAAAGTTAACGTGAAAATGTATAATTGGGAATTGTGAAAATATATAATTTAATTGATTAATTTTGAATATTTAGATTCCATTCCCAAAAAAGAGGAACCTGAGACGGTATATCTGGACCTGAGAAACTTCGAGCAACAGAGGCAAGAGGAACAGCAGAGAGTGGCGTCTGTGCAGAGAATTCTTCGCATACATGATTCCAAGAAAAAGTAAGGGTCTGGTTTCAATCTGTATTCTGAAATGATGGAAGAATAAACAGAAAATGGAAATTAACCTGTTTTTTATCACTTGAGAACCTTAAAGCAACAGATGCTGATTAGTCTTTTTTATTTTCTAGGGAAGACAGTTCTGATTCAGAAGATGAGGGCAGTGCAGAGTCTTGGTTTGAGCAGAGGAGGAAGATACGAGCTGCCATTGAACGTGGATCTGTTTCTCAAGTTCTACCCTCGAAGCCATCCTTACCAAAGTAAGATATGCATGAGCATTTTAACTGACATTATCTCAAATATTGGTGAGGAAAGTTATAGTTTATTTTGACTCCAGTTATGTTTTGAACTTTCATAATTTAAGCAGCGACTTGTTTACTTTTGTCTCTGATGAAATGACCAGAGGTGTGCATACAGTCCTCATCCTCTTTGTTCAGATTATAAAAAATATTCTTAATTGTAATGAATTTGTAGTCATATTCTTAAAAAATGAAGAAATGAAAAAATTAATGTTTGAGTGTAACAGCATATTTTTACTATGACATTTACCCTTTATTCTATCATATAGGGCCCCCAAAGAAGCAACCCATGCTCAAAGACTGGCCCATGTTGAGCCAAAGCGCCCTCTATCTGGAGAGACCCAAGGTGATTCTGAAGTAAAGGCTATGGAACAAAAACCAGAGCCAGATAAAGAGGCTGAAGAGAGAGAAAAACAAAGGAGGATGGACACAGCTAAGTATGTCTCTATTTCCTTTTTTTAATTTAAATTGTTTTTATTCATCAGAAGCTAATTTGAATTTTTTCCCCGAATTGTTACTTTCATCGAGTCTTTTCTTATACACCTTATAACAGTGTCCCTCACTTTATTTTGTTTGTTCCTTGCCACGACTTGCTTTCCTTGTCCTCCTTTTAAAAACTTGTGGCAATTATTTCTGAATCTTTGGTCTTTGTCCAATCAGGTCCAATTTTATGATAGCTTCTGTTTTTGTCTTTGATATCATTGCAGTGAAAGTTATCAGCAAAAACATATCGAATAACTTAATTATGTACTATTAAAAAAAGTTTTCTGTGTAATACACTACAAGGCTCACAGTAAATCACTGCATATATATATATATATATATATATATATATATATATATATATATATATTGTAGGAAGCTACGAGAGCAGCGTGAACATGAACGCCAGTCCAGACTGAGGCTGGCCAAACAACTGGAGGCACTGAGGCCAAAGACGTCGGTGAGCGGCAGATATCCGTGTGCTGAAGAGACACCTGTAGTGTTTGATGTGGTAAGGAGATGCCTAATAGAAATGAAATTTTGAATGGTGAAGATTTAATATGAATGAAGCTAGATGGTCTTGAATATTTACATCCAATATCCACTTGATAGCCAACCAAGACATTTATTTGTTTGTTAATTGATTAATCAATTTACTCCAATATTTATTTATTTAAATAATTATTTATGAATTTTTTATTTAATTATTTGTTTGTTCACCAATTTTTTATGTATTCACTTATTTATTCACTTATTTATTTGTTTATATATACATGTTTTTCCATTTATTTACTTTTCTTTATTTTATCTGTTTTCTCTGTTAAGGAGGCCTCCTATGAGCCAATGCCCCAGTGCTTGCCAGACACTCTTCCTGCTGATCTGGAGACCATCCTTCTCACAGTGCATTTATCCACCAATGGGGAGATTATAGTCCACAGAGGAGGCAACAAGAGTGTGGATATGGGTAGGTGGGATGTTCAGATGCACAGACAGAGACACACATATTTACCTGCACTGGCATATCTGCAAATGCATGCATACACATGCTCACATACACACACATGCTCACACAAACAGAAAAACGTCCAAAACTTGCACACACACATACACACACATACACACATGCACGCACGCATGCATGCACACACACAGTTATATACAAAGGCAAATTTGCAAATCTGTGTATGTACATATGACTCGCCTACAAATATAGAAAGCAATGCAAATTACAAGCTGATTATATTATAAATTTGACCTTGGATGTTCCGTCCTCCAGGTCTAGGACTCTCTGCTAGCTGTACCACCTTGCTAACGTGGCTGCTATCACTCGTCCCTCATGACTTCACATTCCTGGACGATTCGTCTATTCGGCAACCTGCGCCGTCACCACCTGTGCCCCTGGACCCCGGCCCTTTCTGTGTGCTGGGCTTACAACAACTCTGGTTTGAGGAGCAGTTGTGTATTATTGTTGCCATAGCACCAAAGGATAAACAAAGTCAGGTGACACAGCTGACTGGACCAGTCAAGTCCAAAAAGGCAAAGGTACCAAGCAGTTACTATTTTAATTTCAATAGTTTAAAGTATTTAAATGAATATTGGTTTTGATAGTTATTAACCTAAAAAGCCAATGATGACGTTATCGTTACAACTGAACAACATGAAGGTTGAAACCTATTTCATCTTTTAAGATGAAAATATTTTAAAAGTATTTTCTCCTTTTAATCTATTATTTTCAGCTCAAAGATGCAGTAAAATCCTGCACCCCTTTTCAGCAGCAAGTCACAAAGTTTCTGTCCACCAACACCCTCCACTCTGTTTGCCCTTGGCTCCAAGATTTCACATCAGTTGAGATCTCAAGCCCTCCCTCTCCATCCACAGATCACCCTACCTCCCAAAAGTTTGCCTACAAGCCCCCCTTACCCAACATCACCACCAAGCCCCTCTCCACATTCATGCAGATGAGGACTGATCCTGATGCTGTGAAGAAAGTTTTTGGGACCCCTGTAGGATTTTTCTATCAGTCCGTGGAGTCTGATGAGTGTCAGGCTGACGTGGGGATTAATGACGATGGTGTGAATTATGAAACACAAAACACCATGTCTCTGGTGTACAAGAAAATTTACCAGGTAATTCTGGTGACTTTTTTGGTGGTAATATGTATAATGTATTGATAAAAATTTTCCAGTGAAGAGGAAGCAAAAAGGTTATCATCTCTATAGACATTAACTTTTTAAGTTCAGTGATAAAATTTGATGATTTCAACTATATATGGATTCAGTTGGATGACTTTTTAAAATTAAAAAAAAAAATCCATGATAACTGCATTCCAGATTGCACATTAGGTTTCTGACCTAAGGATAATAATAGTGATAATTCTTATTATTTCAATATAGTTACTTCATGTATCTGTATTCCAGAACCCTGTAGCATTGATGGGTATATTGAGTCGTGTTCTTCAAGAAGGTCTGGACATATCAGGCATCCGTCTTTTATATCCCTCCGTACAGCTTCTCAGTCTCGAATCTCCTCGCATATCCTTCAACGAGAATGCACCGCCGCAGTCCAACACAGAATTCCTGAACAGCGTCGGGCCCATTCTCGCCATTGCACTTCGTGGGACATTCGCAAGGTCAATCTGGCTGGATGCTGTGGGTCCATCAGATCCAGCCCTGGCCAGGAGAACAGATCCTAACTCCCTTTGTGCCTTGTATGGAGGAGAGTCGCGGGAAGAGTGCCTTTTGTTCTGTCCCAGGAACCCCGCCAGAATTCAGACAGAGCTGGCCAGGTGGTTTGGAGGTAGAGTGCCCCCTAGTGGTGTCATTGATGTTGGTGCGATGCCAAATCGGAAGGAGCGGCACTGTAGCGGGAGCCCCAAAGGGGGCAAGGGGAAAAGAGTTAGTTTTCACACGGAATCATCTCATCAGCCTGAGGCGGTGTTTCCAAGTCGTCGACCACCTGCGACTCTCACTGCCACGGTTACAAGTGACATATTTTTGACAGTGTCACCATTACTGCCTGTCAAGTGTCTTGGTGTTGTCATGGCGACTTGTCAGCGGCGGGGGTATCAGCTAAGAGGTGTGAGGAGGATGAGACTGAATACAAAGAGGGCCAGTAGTTTAGGTAAGTATATTGCCAGAAATCTTGGAGAAAAGAATAAAAAAAAAGGATAATTAAAAAACTTATAATGTGTAAATAGTTATTTTAAAATATATTATTGTCATTGAGACAAAATGTGTAATATTATAGAACCAATAACATCAACATGTTATACCAAATTACTGATTCGGAAATTCTCTGTTTAGTTTGTTTTTCAAAATATTTAGTTTATATTTAAAATGTTTTGTCATGTATAAAAACAGTATCTTTGGAGAAGCCCTTAACATATTTGACTGAAGAGGATTGTGGGTCATGGATAATAAAAATGAAAAATAAATATTGATGAAGATGCAGAAAACTTGAACATAGTAACTGAAATTGTAAATGTTTTTGTTTATTTTCTACATTTTTATGTTTAAATTCAGTCTTCTTAAAAATTTTCACATATTTATAGGAGTATCTGGTAAAGCCCTCAGTATCTTCAGTGCAGAGGGACCCAGGTCTCCCCAATCCCCAGTATCATTTGACGACGTATTCTTAGAGCAGAGGAGCAGTTCCCCGCAGGACGCTGGTGAGCCCAGCATGCCTTGCACTGTGCTGTTACTGCAGAAGGAGAACGCCCTGCACAGTGCCCCGAGTCTCATCGAGGCTTTTATGGTACAGTTGTGTCTTAAAGGAGTCCTAGGTAAATATGACAAATATTGTAATACGGTAGAAACTAAAATCAGTTAAAGGGGAGGAGGGCTCTGAATATTTATGTTGTATAATCTCTGAGGGTTTCTAACGAAAATTTGACAAACAAATGAGTTTTCCTTGCCTCTGACATATAATAAGTGGTAATTATTTTTGTAATTATATCACTAAAAAACCAAAAGTATTCTGTGTTATTTCTATTTGTCAATTCATCTAAAAAGAAATTTAATTTCTGTTTTTATTGCTTTTTGACAATTTCAGGATTGAACAGATCCATACAGACCAGTCTTAAAATTGAGAAGTCACCTCTTCTATGAATTACTTCAGGCTATAAATGCATCCTTTAATCTTTGACTTGTATCCTTTGTCCTATATTTCAGGTTCAGTCCAGCATAATAGGCTATACTTACAACCTCTAACCTATAACCTTTAACCTTTGTCCTATATTCCAGGTTCAGTCCAGTCCAGCACACCCCACCCCCTAACCTCCAGTCTGCTATTCCAGTACACTGGCTACACTGACAGCTTGCTCCACCTACTGGGCGGAGACTTTAGCAGGGTATGAACTTTGACCCTTGAACTTGATGTTTTTAACTTGAGTGACAGTTTATCACGCTTCCTTGGGATGAGTTCAGAAGACCTTTAAAACAGACAATTCATTCAGCCATTTGTTCATTCATTCATTTGTTGAGTCATTTATACATTCATTCATTCCTTAATTCATATATTTTGTTTAACCTGTTGTTCTAGGTGCCAGACATAGAGATCACCTGTCCCAGCTATATAGCTCCAGAACTGTACACTAACCCAGAAATAGAACAGATTGTGGTCCTCACTCTGACAGGACACCTGCATATGAGGACCTTTGGCCTGTTTTTAGGTAATGTGGCAGGTGTTTAGTGTATGTTCAGAGTATACGTAGGGAGTAGTTGTTGTATCTCTGGTTTTGATATTGAGCATATACTAGGTTCTGTGTTATAGTTAATTAATTTCGTTTGTTTCAGGTCATATAAAATTTATGATTCAGTTTAGTTTTGTGAAAAAAGATATCACTATATTAATATGCATCTGATGATTTTACCATGTATGGATAGAAATACTAGTTTATTTCTGCACATATGGATATTCCATACCTTATAGTGAATTTCACATTGTTTTAGAGAAAAATAAATTCCTATTTCAGCTAAGCTTCTCAACATGACCCCCTATAGTAAACTACCCACAGCACCTCTCACACAGGAGGGGTTTGAACTGCTGGGGATAAAATGGCTGCCAAGCCTCAGTATCAACCAGGCTAAAGAGCTGACGCCGTATGAAGTGGGGGATAAACAGTGGAAGAAAAGTATTCATACCCTGACCTCAGGTATCTGTAGATGGTTTTTCAATGTATCTTGCTTCATATTTTTTCCCTTTTGCCCTGTAACAAAAATGTTTTAAACATTTGTGTAAGACTTGCATCAACTAAAATACTTGTTTGGATATTTTGTATGTAGCATGATTCATTGGGGTATTGCTGAACCACAAATTGCATTGTATATTCATTTTCCATTGACATATATTCTATTGTAACCATAACTCAAAATGCTAAATTTTTTGCCTGAAAAATTTTTAAACATTTGAATTATCATTAAAAACTGTGATTATCAATAAAAATAACAAATAATTGTATTATTCCATCAGAACCTGCAGTAGTCCTGCTATTACGAGGCATCAACGCCTTCAAGAGGGTCTCCTCCATTATCAGCTCAAAGACGCAGCAGACAACAGCCACTGGGGGGCAGCAGCTGTCCCTGGAGAAGCTGATGTCACCGACACCAGAGATAGCATACAGACAGATGACGCTGTTCTTCAGGGATTTAGAATTGTTTCCTGACCCTCACGCTCGTCCTTTGTTACACTTCATGCCTCCTGTTAGACAATCCGATGAAAGGTAGGCCTCTGGGCAGAGTCATTTACAAATTAGAAATTAATTTGAGAAATAGAATGATGGGCATATACTGTGAAAATAGACTGGATGGGTGCATTTGACAATTTTACGTGGAAAGATTCATTTCAAGAGTCCATAAGGTTATATCTGCTATATAGTTATTATCTTTAAGTTAGCAATGTAATCCACATTGATATTTCTAGCCAGTGAATTTTGTACAATATGTTGACCATAAACACGGTAAGAAAATTATTAGGGCAGTGTATTTAATATATTCCTAGAGGTTATATGCTGGTCTGATTTTGCCATTTAATCACCATCTTGGTTTTAATGTTGCTTCAAACATAACCTTGATAAATTTTAAAAAGCCAGTCACACAGAGGAAAAAATCTTGTTCTAAATTGGGGATATTGCATATTATTTTCAGCCAAACACGAAGAAGACGGCAACTCAAGCCAGACTGGGCGGCCAACTTCATAGAAGAGTCGGTGTTCCGCACCATGCTGGCTGGACCTCGACTCTTGACCAGTGTCCTCATCTTCAAGCCCGATGCCGTGAGGAAACACCTGAGTAAAGTGTTCAGGAAGGTGACCCATGAGAGGTTCACTGTGGTGGGGCTGAAGATGAAGGTGTTGATCACAGAGGAGGCCTGGGGGATGGTGCCTCAGTATGAAGATGTGAGTAGTAGTATGGTCAAGATTCCAGTATGGCCAGTGGGTGACAGAGTGGCCAAATTTAGTCTTTAAACAGGTCTTAAAACTCAAAGTAAAATGTACTGATTCAGAAGTAATTAAAGTTGGCATTTTGAGTACAATACCTGCTTGTAATATTTTTTTACTCTCATATTTTCAGTTTACATGTTGATTTACTCTTTTCCATTATTATTTTCTTTCTTCACCTCACTGTATTGACCAAGATGTTTATACTATATAGTGCTTTGTTGAATGCATATTCTAACAATCAAAAGTGACCTTTTGAAACAACATAAGACCATATTACCATAATATGAAAAAAAAATCAGCGTCAGTGATACATTACAAGAATAAATTGTCCTTTCAGAATGATATAGTTCGCCAGATGCATGTTGATCACATGACCTCAGGCCCCTCCTTTATTCTGTGTGTTCAACGAGAAAACGCTGTTAAGAAACTCTTGGATGTGATTGGTGCAGAAGACCCCCAGCAGGCACGGCGGCAGAGCATCTTTAATTGGAGAGGGACATTTGGGGTTGACCCTGTTTGTAATGGTATATACGGTAAGGAAATGAAGCAGTTTAAAATATGAATTGAAAAGTAATGCATTAAAAGCTTAATGGTTTTGAAGGGGGGGGGGGGGGGCAAAAGGGACATTTTTAGATATATGGCTTATGCATATAGCTTTAAATATTTTAATTGAGATATTGTTCAGTGTTCAATATTTAGTAAGAGAAATTGAAGTTAGTTTGATTGGAATCAGTCCCTGTGTTAGAAAATATGTTGATTCTTTTTCTCTATCATTAGCCTCAGCAGACTATCAACATGCCATGCACGATGTGAAGCAGTTCTTCCCAGAGGGTTTGTGTTGTTCTGAGACTCCAGATCTTAAAGCAGATGAGGTATGAGGTTCAGGAGAATCATAACACTCTATATTTCTTAGACACTTTTCTTTACTTTATTTACTTTGCCTTTTCATTTTTCATGATTATTTTTTCACTATCACATCTAAAGTTATAATATAAATGAAAAATATGAGAGATTATTCATTCTTGGTAATATATATAGTATGATTACTTGGTTTGCTTCCGTCTTAAATTTTTGTTTGTTTGTTTTGTTTTTTAACAGTACATCCTTTGCTGTATTGGTAAGATGTATATGAATCACTGTAATGCTATTTGGTAACATGTAAGTATTAAGGACTTACTGAATTGAGCTGCAGCACCAGCATTCTGTTCTTCAGGTTAGCTGCCCAGGGGTCAATGTGGGTGTTGGCATCAAACTAGACAAGACCAGAGAGGTCACCTTCAGGGATCCAAATTCTGCTGTAGGAGAATTGTATGAGGTAGAAGACGCTGGGAGCAAGAAAAACACAGGTAGACAAGTTTTTCAAAAGAATATAAAGTGGTTTACATAATTTCAGTTGCAGAAACTTGAAGAAACAGTGGGCACCTTATTCCTAATGGAACCATGTTATTCAATCAGGTCTTCCAGTCATGACAAAGCCTAACCTGTCAGTTAGGGATCACTCAAAACAAAGGGTGAAAGAGACTACAATTGTTTTAAATCTTAGAAGTTTCTTTATAAGACACATGTTATGTTATATGTTTTAACATATAATATAATATTAAAATATGATGTCTAAATTTTGGAACGTAAGTAAGAAATGATATAAAAATGTAAATTTTTAGGGTATTTCTGATTACAGAACTTAATAATGATGTCTTTTATTTCTATTAAAATAGAAAAAAAGTTATGTTCTACTATGATATCCAGAATCACAGTAGTACAGATCAGTCATGTTAGTCTCCCCTGATCTAAGTTAGTCTTGATGTGAACATAACCACTATTTTCTCCCACATTTAATCCAGGCACTAGCCTAGCAGTCCAGGTCAGCCACATATCTAATCTCTCTCTGTATTCTAACTTAATCTTGTTGTGAACATGACCACTATTTTCTCCCACATTTAATCCAGGCACTACCCCAGCAGTCCAGGTCAGCCATATCACCATGTTAACCCAGACCAACTGTGTGGTCCTGACCCCAGCTGTGATGAAGACAGAGAAGAGGAGCAGTGTGCCAGCCTATGTGTACATTGTGGAGGAGATGTTAAAACACGGGTGAGTTAACTGGTTCCTGTGTCTCAAAAGAACTTAAAGCTGGGACAAGATATTTCAGACAATTGGCCGATTTCAGACTTTTTGGGTGAGTTAACAGGTCCCTGTGTCGAAAGATGGTCTTAACTTTAAGGCCCCATTCCCATTGACACCATCTGTCTGCATACAACTCTGGGGGGGGGGGGGACTCTCGCTAAGTGCAATCAGCTTAACTGAATAACACGTCTCTTCCTAGCATTAAGTAGAATATAGAAAAGCTGGTGATTATATGAATATGTTGGAAATAAGAGGAGGTCTTATTCAGCTTAAATGATTACATTCAGCAAGAGTCTGTAATAGCAGTAAGCAACGGTTGTTTCTTTCATTTTATTAGTGAACACCATGTGTTTTTCCAGCTTTGAAATTTCAAAATAAGTAATATTTAGGAGGGCTTTATTTAAACAGATGAAAGATGTTGTTGAAAATGCTAAAAAGATCTGAATTGAGTTTTGATTCAGAATTTTTTTGATGAAACTGTCCCCATTAGCAAAGAGTGTTGGGATATTTCAGGTTTGAGGTGTGTGGGGCACAGTTGATATGGTTCACACAAGACCAGGCCCAGCAATATCTCCATCTCTGTGACGCTGGCAGTTATAAACTGGTGAGTGTAAGTGTGTGTGTGTACATTTGTGTGTGTGTGTGTGGTTTTGTGTGCACATGCTTGTGTGTGTACTTGTGCATGTGTGCATGTTTGTGTACGTGTGCATTTATGTACATGTGTTTATCTGTTTATTTAAACAAATAATTTTAAAATGTTACTTCTCCAAACATTTTAGTATTTTTGATTCAGTTACCGGGTACTGAATTAGTACCATCACAGAATATAACAAATTCAAATGTTATATACATTATTTCTGCTGCAGGTTCCTATGTTGACGTCAGGTCCTAGTCTGGTATTAGCTGTGCAGAGAGACAATGCTGTGATGGCTTTTGATGTGTTATTGGGAGGGTAAGGACGACGATGCTTTGTTGGCCCGAGAGAAATTTAAAAATATTATAACTAGGAGACCATTCCCACTGATATTTAGATCAATCTATCACCCTGGGGAGTCTCACTAGATTGCTGTCAGCTGAATAGGCTTTAATATCTGCCCCGCCTACTAAAAGCTGTAAGTAGATAATTAACTTTTTTGCGCACTTGGCTCCCGGAAGCTGACAGCAATTTAGCGTGAACCCCCAGGTAAATAGGTCGATCCAGATGGATCGATCTAAATCTGTGGGAACCCAGTCTTGGAGTACTAGATAAAGAAGCATTGAAATTATGCTTTTTACTATTAACTTTTGCTGCTTAATATTGAAATTCAGTGATATTGATTAAGATTTTAATTTATTTTTCATTTCTGCCCTATCTGTATTCTCTTGATAAATTGATAAATACATTATTTTATGAAAGTTATGTTAATTTTCTTCTAGTCCATATACCTCAGAGTCCATATACAAGAAGTATGGAGAATTTATTATGAGACCCAAGGACACTAGTCAGGTATAATCGTAGAGTTTCTTGATAATTATTTATTCAGTAAGAAATAGTAGAGAAATTAATTTTTGGAGTGTTTCTTAAATTTGAGTAAAATAATCTAAAATTAGAGAGAATTGCAGTGGAGGTTTCCTGCTTTTAATTCTTTAAGAATCTCCGTTCCCATTCTAGAGAAAAAAAATTGACAAGATTATGAAGGTTACAAGTGAAATAGTAGAATAATAGTATTTTGACTCCTATTTCCAGATGAACAAAGTCATGTCAATGTGTATTATTATTATTATTGATAAGGCAATTGTTAATATTAAAAAATAAGATAATTAATGGATAATAATAGACACTGATTTGTCTTATGCACTATAATATTCATAGTCCCAGATTATTTTGGCAGAATGCAAGTAACACTTAGTCTTACCAGTACAATGTAGATAATGAATAACATCTCGAGATCATTATTATTCCTGCAGGTTTCCAAACACCTTGCCTTCTTCTTTGACCATCTCATGCCAGGGTGCCATGCCATCATCAGAGAGGTTTGATTTTACAGAGAGATTTTTGGAGAAAATTATAAGAGGTAGGTTCAAGTCTGTCATCTTGTTTTGGTCTACATTATCTCATTTTAATGTTTGCTTGTTTGTTAATTGATTTGAATTTTTATGTAATCAAAGTAGATAATAAAAAAAGAGTTATCTGCAGCCTACCACATTGATTCATACACACAAAATCACTTCCTTTCCCATACAGATATATAACTGCATTCATTTTCTAATTCAAGTATTGTACACTCCCAAGATCTTATATGCTCAAAGATTAACATCATTATACTGTACATAAAAATAATCTTTACATGTGATTCTTGTAGTGATAGACTAAAACAAATTAAAAAATCAAAATGTCCATTTAGATAAAAAAATAACTTTGATTACACATTGATCAAGATTATATTTAGATGTATTGATCTTGTACGATGGCTCCCAGGGGGTAATATATATTTATTTTTCATCCTGCAGAATCGCCGTAAACATATCTGTTATAGATTTTGTTATTGGATTGAGTACCAAGGGATCAGTTATTTCCAATGTGTATTTTCAGATAGGTCACAGATAGGATCAGGAACTTTTGATTTCAAACATTATGTGTTCACAATGGGTATAAACTTGGTGCCCAGGTCACTTCCAATCTGCCACCAGAGCCATTACACATAGCAAATAACATGAACTACAGGTCCCATAGGATTTATATACACACCAATGCAGGTCCTAAATGATTGATGCAATTGAAATTGATATCACAATTCTCAAAGCAGTGATTCACATCAGTACAGGCCCTGTAGGAATAATAAACAAATAAATAAATAATAATCAACAGGTCCTACAAAACTGACATATTTGTTAATACAGGTATAAGGGTAATTATAGGTGTAGTGGTTAGTAAACGAGTCTTCTCTAACTTAAAATAAATACATTTAAACACTGGTCATAGGATTGATTACAAATATCGTAGTTTCAAAAGACAAGACAGTTATTTCTTATCTCTTAATTATATATATATATATTTTTTATGATTGTGATGTAGTAGTACAAACATAAACGTACACGCACATGCACACACGCACACACACACACACACACACACACAC